TAGTTAGAGTGCTTTGAGAAGGCCAGTACAGGAATCATACTGTCCTCCATAACAGCCTTCCTCTTCTTGTCCACTTCTTTCTTTCTAGTTTCTTCTGAAAATTCATTTCTGATTAGCAAATGGAGGCTACTTAAATCTTCAAAAACATTTTTGGGGATATCCTTTCTTAAAGCCTGCATATAAAGGAAATGGGAAAAAATACTGCAGTGTAAATAATGATTAGATGATAGATTAAAAAAAACATAGTAGAAAGCTGGTCTTGGGCAGTGGAATGTTAGTAGTGAGGTGCTCTTGGGACAGGTGTTTTTTAATGTAGTCAGTAAAGATTTGGCAAGGCAAATGGACAGTGAATTGATTTAACTTGCAAATTATGCAAGCAAATCAATTGAAAACCATTGGAGAAATGAAAAAAAGCATTGGATTTAAATACTTTGGGATATTAAGCAACACCGCAACGAATGAGATTTTGTTTGATAAGGCAGTTAATACCCATGACAGCAACATTCTGGTTGCTCAAGCCAAGCTAATAATTAAACCTCAAGCTCTGGCGGATAAATTGCTAACCTGCAGGCATCAGGATGAAAGCATGGCCTGCCAGCCAAGCACAGAACCACGCTGCCTTAGGGTCAGTTAAGTTTAGCTGTCGGTCTTCTTCTAAAGGAACAAACAGAACTACCATAAAAATCTGTCAGCATAGCCACAGACCTATCTGTACACCTACCACATTCGTGATTGATGCTGATAGAAGCCTAATGCTATCGAAAATATAATTATAGGGCATAGGTAGATGACTGGAATTTTAATTAGAAATTAATTAGGACCTGTGCAGCGGCTGGACGAGTCCTGACTAATGGATCTCTTGCCTGATCTGGTCTTGCAAATCAGAGGTCTCCACAGAATTTGGCACACTTAAATTATCCTGGATATGATTCTAGGATCCTGGATATTACTCTAGTCTCTTTTCCTCCCAAAAACTTGCTGATGCAACTTGCTTATCATTTTCCATGTTTTTTTTTTTTTACAGGAAGACTAATAAAGAATCTGCAAGATTCTTGAGAGTTTTAATATAGTATTTACTGTTCCTCCTCATTATTACATTTTGTTCCTTCTTATCTTGACATCTGCACCTGTACTTAGTTCCAGTGTCCTCATTTCCCTGCCACACTCCAGCTTTTCAGTGGTAGTTCCTGTTGGAATCACTCTCACCACTTTTTGAAAAAGGGATTGCAAGCAATTGAGCAAGCTCCATACTTCTGCTTAAAATTATAAGAATTGCTTCTTGCCTCACTGTCCCTTGTTCACCACCACCACGTGTGGGAAACTTTTCCTATACACATTTGCTTCTTTTCACGTTTCTGATTGCAGCCTGTCCAAACATTGATACTGAAGTTGCCCTGACTACAGTACCCACTTCTTGAATCTTTTTGGCTTCCCATCTATTTCCTCACATCTTCCCCTTACATTTCCCATCTGGCTTCTCATCTGTTTCCTCGCATCTTTCCTTACAAATCTTCTTTCAAGAACTTTTATAAGTTTTGTCTGTATTTCATTCCATCGTATTCCTCTCTTTGTTTCATCTTTCTTCTTTTTGTGTTACTGGTTGCTTTGTCACCCACTGTACTCAAGATATAATAATACTTCCCTTTTCCCAACTGTTGTCTGTATTCTCCAGTTTTGCTAAGCTCATTGAGTCTGAGGACATTATACTAGATACTCTACAATGCCTTCTTTTTCTTTTCCTCCACTTTTTTTTTTTTTTATGACAACAAACATCCAAGTCAAAACTCATAACTGCTGTCAGATCAAGGCAGGCTTGAGGAGCATCATTTCATCTTCCTCCTGAAGCTCAGTTCAGCATGGCACAGTGACACCTGACTGGCTCTAGAGGGAGTCAGCCTGGGCCAATGGGGACTTTTTTGTGCCTAACCATCAGGTAGCAGCAGCCCTAGAGGAAGCCAGGAGGCCATGTTAGTGGTCCTAGGACTAGGGGCAAAGAAGACCTGGCAGCAGCCACAGGTCTGTGAGTGGATTTTCCTTTCTGTTGTTTGTTGATGTATTTATTATCAAAAAACTTCCCTGAAAACTAGTGAGTCCTGATTCAGCAAAACTTTTATTGATTTGAGTAGGAGTAGTTAAAATTGGCTGATAAGTGAATGGTAGTTCAGACCCATCAGGTCAACTCCTTGCTTTGTGAAAGTCCGTGGCAATCATAGTGCAGACTGAAAGCGAGCTCTGAACTTTACCTCTGAAGCATCACTCCCAAGAAGTTACTTTAAAGCCGACCACCAGCTGTTACAGCGGGAATCAGTGGAGACAGGCTGGCTTACTTGTTCAAACTAAGGTCTGATCCATTGATTTGGGGATCTCATAGCAGTCCATCCGAATGCAGCAGAGTGCTTAAGCAAGTACATAAAGATAGCAGGTAGTTTAAAAAGTCAAAGGTAAAGTGGAATGACAAAGTAGAAAAGACATGCAGTGGTTTTTTTTTTCTAACTAGCTTTAAAAAACAATTTCCCCACAATTTCTGAATTTTGTGTCAACGCTGCCATGAAATTTTCCTGTTAAACATTTTTTAGCAGCCCGCATGTCTTCCACAAGTGCTGAAGAAAACCCAAAAATACGTGAAACACTGCTTCAGGAAAATTCCCTATTTTAGTGCCTGTTACCCAACCACTTGCCTAACTGCTGCAGTCAGCACAGCCTCGTGGCCCCTTGCACCTCTGAGCCTGGGGCTGGGGCAGCCCCACAGCACAGGCCCCACCACCACTGTCGCATGCGAGGGGCCCCTGGGGCAGAGAAGGCTGGGGCGCACGTCCCCCCACGGGGCAGCGGGTGCCAGAAGGAGGATCCGGGGAACTACAGGTCTGTCAGTCTGACCTCGGTGCCGGGGAAGGTTATGGAGCAGATCATCTTGAGTGCCATCAAGCGGCACGTACAGGGCAACCAGGTGATCAGGCCCAGTCAGCATGGGTTTATGAAAGGCAGGTCCTGCTTGACTAACCTGATCTCCTTCTATGATGAGGTGACCTGCTTAGTGGATGAGGGAAAGGCTGTGGATGTTGTCTACCTAGACTTTAGTAAAGCGTTTGACACCATTTCCCACAGCATTCTCCTGGAGAAACTGGTTGCTCGTGGCTTGGACAAGCTGTGCTGATTTTGGCTGGGATAGGGTTAATTTTCTTCATAGAAGCTAGTATGAGGCCATGTTTTGGGTTTGTGCCGGAAACAGTGGTGATAACACAGGGATGTTTTAATTACTGCTGAGCAGTGCTTACTCAGAGTCAAGGTCTTCTCTGCTCCTCACACCACCCCACCAGCGAGTAAGCTGGGGGTGCACAAGAAGTTGGGAGGGGACACAGCTGGGACAGATGACCCCAACTGACCAAAGGGACATTCCACACATATGAAGTCATGCTCAGCATATAAAGCTGGGGGAAGAGGAAGGAAGGGGGGACGTTTGGAGTGATGGCGTTGGTGTTCCCAATTAACTTACACATGATGGAGCCCTGCTTTCCTGGAGATGGCTGAACACCT